GGCAGCTCCAGCCCCCCTGGTCACGGTATAGGCTTATTTTTTAACACAAAAAAAAAATCCGATTTTTTTTTTCAAGTATGGCATCACTTTGGCACTTCTCCATAAGTAGTGTGTAATTTTCCCAAAACTTAGTTGTTTTTTTCAAGTTTGGAAATGATTTAAAATGCCATATTTTTACAATTCGTTACAATTTATTTTTTTCATATCTTGCTCGAGTGTAACAGTCTTCCGCCCCATAGTTATAGTATGAGATTATTTTTTTTAGGTTGAATTTTATTCAAATAAACCGAATACAATGATGCCATACTGTAACAAATGATTTTATGTCTTGTACCTTGAAAAATCAGGTTTTTCAAGTATGGCGCCACTTTTTCCCTCTACTACAAGTATGGCAAATATAATAATGGTCACATTGTATCGTATAATTTCCAAAAATCCAAATGCCATACTGGTAAAAATCGTCAATTTTTTTTTTCTTTTTCACCTTTTAGCTCAAGTCCGACAGTCATCCGCCCCATGTTTACAATCTGTAATAATTTTTTTACGTACAATTGCATCCAAATGACGAGAATACAATGATGTCATGATGTAAAAAATGATTTTACGTATTTTGCAGTCGTATTTTTAAAACGTGTCAAATAAATAAGTATTTCAAGTATGGCAGCACTTTTTCCCCCTACTAGAAGTATGGGAAAAATAATAACGGTCACATTTTGCCAAATACTTTCCAAAAATTCAAATGCAATACTGGTACAAATCGTTTGGCGAAAAAAAAATTACTCCTTTGCAGCGGTATGGCGGCCATTGGGAACTGTCGGAAAAGTATGGCAAGGTGATTTTCGTGACTGGCTACTCGACGATGATTAGCTGTGCAAAAATTAGCCTGGTACAAATGGTTGAATTGTTTTATTTAAATTAATGTATTCGCGTCGGTATGGCGGGCTGTAAGTCACACCCGAGAAGTATGGCATTACGCTACCGCCTACTTCTTTTTTTCGACTATCTGAAAATATAAGCATTTTTGTGGAACAAATCGTTCGACACTCGTTATTTATCCGACGCGTTCGATTAACGCCCACGCGATTGGGCCGCCGGTGCGAGCGTTATGACCATCATTTTCCTTTTTGCCTTTACGTAATTAGACCCCTGAAGAACCGCCATACTGGTACAAATGACCAAGTATTTTGTGTCATCATCTCCCGGTCTAGTAACAGTAATATCATTATAAGGTTTCACAATTGCTTTATGGCTAATCCTAGCCAGATTTGATTTGTTGTCGAGGTGTGGCACCGGTATTGACAAAAAGGATATTTTTATCTCATAAGGACACGTGGCGAGAAATTGTATTTACTAAAGTTTTATTTTTCGATTATCCTCCGATAAATACTTGTGAACAAAAATGGACGTGCTTGTTTTACAATCACTATATGGCACTGCCTATGATGATGTGATGACGAGATGACTGCTAATTTATTACACAAGTAGCAAAGTACATATGCCCTTGTAGATTTCACGAGGGCATCGCGTCGGTGAGTTCAAGCAAATATCGATTGTTTGAGGTAATTAATAACGAACTGACGCTTTCTTGCTGTGCGAATCTATGATTTAAAATTTAGCTTCGAAAGGTCTGGAATTACCAGAACTTGAATTTTTTACCGCTATGCAGTTCAGTTAGAGCGGGAGCTTGTTTGCATACAAACATTAATATCTACTTTACAAGTTCTTGTCATATTGCGGATGAAAGACATAAAAAGACAATGCTTGTATTGCCTCCAGAATTAATAGACAAATTACTGTATTTTCACCACGAACATTTACCTACAATCAACAGAAGGTATTTAATAAAAAAAACATGTTTTGCAGAATATTTATTACTTCTGGTTAATGGAAGCTATTGATCGCCTTCTAGTGACGTGTTAATATAAAAGTCAAAGATCAAAGTGTCATGAATCAATGTATAATTATTCAATAAACATACTTAGCAAAGCAACAATAGTTGTTAAACTGCTTGTTTGGATTGGATGTACATATACACTAAGTACCTAATATTCTTTTTTTTGATGAATTCGACTAACAATAAAAAAACATACCAAAACATCGTTTTCGTTTTATTAGTGTTACGTAAGAAGCCATAGTTTAGAAAAAAAAACGAGCGAGCCTTACAGTATCTAGTCGCGTATGATGTGTAACATTCGAAACCTCACCTTATATTAGTAAAAAAAAAAAAAAAACCTACTACAAAAGGAATAAGCCATTTGAACATTATGTTCTAAAATCAAATAGCGCGCGCTTGGGCGACTTCCTGTTACACACTTCCGTTCCATTTCACGACATCACTCCCACAAATTGCAGGAAAGCGAGAGGAAAGATGTTACACATCAAAAAGACTTTCTATCTTTTATTTTTGTACATATTATTAGTATTGAAGTGAAATTGAATTAAAAAATAAAAATGCAAATCTTTTTGTATCAAGCCAATATTCATATCTTTTTTAAAATGATTTTATTTTTCACTGATTGTGTTTAAGTTCAGATTGATTGGTTACACCTACCACTGTTCTGATGATAAGAATAAAGAAAACAATAATAAAGATAGCTTTTGTTCTTCAAAATCATTACCGCTTCAGTACGGATAAAAAAAATCTTATTCCTTTGTTACCAACTATTGTAATTACCTTAGTTATTTATATTAACTTACAGAAGTTATGCAGACTAGTACAAGTACGTCATCAGTTCATTACTGTGGTTAAATAACATTCATTATAATGCCACTGTAATGTATGTATCTGTTAGCAGTACAATTTAAACTTGTGCAATTCATAAACAATTTACCAAAGCACTCTTCAAAGCATTCATTTATTATTCAAATCTACCGATAAAACTAAAAATATATTTTTCACTTGATTATTGAAAAAAACTGTTTTGTCCGAAATTTAATTTGATGGTTTAGTTTTGGATGGAATCTATAACTTGGTACGTACTGCACGGAGAGACTCCGCATTTTGTTTTTTCTTCTGGTCCAAGCCTAGAAACTTAGTCTTATAATATGTAATTTGAGGATATTATATCAGATTTGGGATGGCGGTTCACCCAGGTCCGTTTTAGAGCATTCTAAGATTTCCGTACGTTTTCACTAAGATGCTGGAACCGATTTGATGAAGTTTGATATTGAACTGACATACAAGCAACCTTGGCCTAAGAGGTTAGGCTGATTTTATCGCGAAAATAAAACTCGAAGAAATTAAATAGGAGCTGAAAGTGTTATAAGAGTAAGTAGACGAAGTCCCAGGTCCCCGCCCGTGTAATGATAAATAATTTATCACATGGTTTATAATACAGGTTTCAAAGTAAGATGTATCTTTTAACAACAATTAAGCCAAAGCGAAAACCTACAGATTATCAAAACGAAACAAAACAACGCTTTCTTATCCTATAATTCGCAAAAGATTATCTCTTACGTTTCAAATATTAATACCGTGACAAGGGAAATTCACACGTACGTTGATGTCAATAAGGATTGTATAGTATAATATCAGATCAGACACTGTTAGCTCAATAGTGTGTTTGACAAAAGTACTGATTGTCACAAGTCGAAAATACGTAGACAATTGAATTAAGGTAGAACTATCGGTTTCACTTTTACTCGGACATTAAGGTAGATTTTTGGTACTTCACACGCATCGATAATTTGGTATCGTGTGTTCGAGCAACCTTGGGCCAACAATATTTACTTTTACGTTGGCGATGTCGTCACTGACCGATTAACGGCGGGAGCCTCGCCTACCATAACGTGAGTAGTAGGTCTTACTCACACATCTAGACGTGTCTATTCTTCGTTATCCATCTACCACTTACTTTCATGTATGTAGTAATGAAACGAAGGCATTTATTTATCATTTACTATGTAAACTGCGGTACTATAGACAGTCGTAAAATTACTGGGCGAGAAAAACATAAAAGATATATATTTGTGTAACGCATTATGAAACGGCTACCTACTTGCTCTTTGAACTTGAATAGGACGAACATTATCGCTGCTGAGAAACTACTGACATAAATAAATATCACAGTAGTAGAATAGTAGATAAGGAATAGGAGGACTTGGATCTAATTCTTCAGTCAATTATAAAACGCATTTTAAAGTGTGTACTTGTATCGAAATATAAGAACTACCCTTAGCGATTTACGATAAACTTTTTTATTTTCAAAAGATTATGTCAGAAGCGGATCATTAAAAACCTAGATTCCAAGCCGCGGTTTTATGGGCATATAAAGCCTTATAAACCTAGAACATAAATGTTTGGAACCTATGAGCCTCACTGCTGATGCGACCAACGAAAGCAATGAGGCCATACTACTGCAAGGCCAAGAACGTGTTTTCTTTGTAGAAGATGTCAATTATGCATACTCAAAGCAACACTATCCCTTTCTTACTAAGCTCAAACTTTACAAAGTTGAAAGAGATAGCAAACGAAAGGTGTACGTACGGTGCTCCAGGTAAAGCGCTCAGGTGACAAAAGAAGCGGCTAAAGAAACACGTGCAAGCTATTTTTATCAGCAATTGAATGTCGTCGCTAACACAAAATTCTCAAACGCCCTCTGAGGAACAGTTATCCAGAATTATAATATAAACTTACCGAACGAAAATGGAATCGATTGGAATCACGTTTCTAAATATAGTTGCCCGTTAGCAGTTTTATATGTAAAATAGGTCTGCCAATAATAATAATAATTGAATATGTGCAAAATAAAACCTGGTTTTATGATTACGTCCTAAGGAGGTAACACGAAAACCGGAATAGATATTTAAAAATAGCATCCATAATGGTATCTTTTTGTTTTGTAGACGATATTATTATCTTCGGTAATGTTTTGGAACTCTATTTCATTAAACACATAATAAGTACTTAAGTTAGTCATGTTATTGTAAAAAAAAGGAACACGACTCAGCTGTCGACTTTCAACACAGATTTTGCAATCTAATAAGTTTATCACACCCACCCACGGTCTAGCTGCCTCAAATAAACGAATGTAGGCGCTCAAAGGCATAAAGCTATGCTATATTTAAATCCTTTGTAGACAACCATTCACACACAATTCACAGACAACCTGTAACTATTGTCTACAGACAACAACTGTAAATGCTGTAAATGTAACCCCATCAATTTTAAATGAGGCATCGTTAAGGTGAGCTATGGGATAGAAAGTGATATTAAAAGTAGTATGTTCTATCTTGTATTCTCCGCATAGTGGCCTATGCAGACAAGGTACTTTTGTCGGTGGACTTTTTGTCAGCCCAAATGGATCGCTTACAACTACATCGAGTAACACACACGCAGCAGTCCCGCGTGCAAATAGTCCCCCGAACAATCGAGGACACCGAGAGGCCGAAGGCTAAAGTACGCGGGAGTCGCTGAAAAAAAGTGGAACTCAATAATCTGTGAGCATTTGTTAGGTACGCGAACATTTTGAGAAGTGCCTAGGCACAACTAGGCGTAGTAACACACATAGCGAACTTCACCCTAGTCACAACTAGGCGTAGCAACACAAAGCGAACTTCAGTCCGCGTTGCGTGCTCTAGATATGGTATTCTCCTTTAAAAGGTCTAGTTTTTTTCTTAAACTTCATGTTCATTACAACACAACGTAATCTGGAAATATTTACTTCCATAGCGTGCACTTCTCAAAATGTTCGCGTACCTAACAAATGTTCACAGATTATGTGAGTTGACTCCGTGACAAGTTCTCGGCGGACATTCTTTTCACGATTAAGAGCCTTTTGTCCTCCGCGGAGAAAAATACCTCGTCTGCGCAGGCCATAAGATATACGATGTGTAGAAGTTTATACAACTTCTTCGTAAGGACACCACATTCAAGCATAGAGCAAAAAGGAACATTGCTTCACGTGTGTTCTGTGGTTTCTTTCTGTTGAGGTAATCTATGCATCCAATGATTCCATTACATATTTTTTCTTATATCAACTAATTGAGAAAAATACTGATTTATGCAGGTGCCCCATATTTATTTACTAGGGTAAATTTCCTGGGGTAATATGTAATAACTTTCAAGGACGCTTACTCGTCCTGTATTAAATTACCTCGACTTACTTTACTACATAATATATTTATTTATAATCTGTCGCTATCAACTACTACAATCGATAATTATTTTTGAAAACCTCCTACTAAAAATGTTTGATTACAATAGTTCCAATTTGAACAATCATCGCCGATTTCAATAATTGTCGAATGTATAATTCAACACATTCGTCGATCAAGGTCAATTTTTATCGGATTAAGGCTAAGGACGACGGAAAAATATCACGAGAGTATGCTAACAAAATAAAAGTCAAACGTACTTTGTAAAGTTATTATTTAGTGGACATTTTAGAAAGTTTCTTTTGTTAAATAAATCTTTCTAAATTGAGAACAAATAATGTTTCAGAGCGTTTCCAACTTGATCCTTACTTAAGATAAAAGCGGTGTAGTGGTTTACTTCACTACTGTTTATCTGAACAACAACTTCAAACCAATGCCAAGTGGTATTTCGAAACAGGGCTACAGGATGGAAGTGCGATTTAAGAATCGTTATCTAAAATTTGTTTTCATCACTGTTATCCAAAACATTTTGTTTTTACTCCTAGACAGATCTTGACAGTGCAGATGACGCCGAAAAAAATTATTGATAAAAAAGATTATTATTGGACAAGGTAAATTTTCCGTAATATCATTTTTTAATAGTACTCGGTTTTGTTTATATTCTATGACCATGTTCGAACTACAGTTATATTTAATTGTTACAACTAAAGTTATACAAAATAGAAAAAAAATCGCGTCTTCACCCCTAAAATTGGAAATTATAACTTCAAGACTATCTATAGGATTTTGTAGCAGTTTTCCACTGCTACATAATTTCAAAATATATATGAATTTATTTTTGTCTAACTGCCGAAATATGACAAAGGGCGGTTTTTTATTTAAAGCGTTGGAGGTTGCTAGTTTTTTGTTTTTATAAAGTCCTCTTTTTCTAGACTACCTAACCATAATAAAAAAAATCGGTCGGTGGACGTCATAACAAGATGTCGTGGAAAAGATTTCTGGCAACCAGCAAAACGGTTATATGCTCAGATCATTTTAATAAAAAGATTTAGCAAGACTGTAAAAAGTTTTGCGTCACAGAGGTATGTATTGTACATATGTCAAATTTTAAAGATAAATAATATTAAACTACTAAATTCAATGCCTTAATCATCATAATATGAAAAAAAGGTCCATTTTGTTGTTTGTTTCTATATTATCATGGCTATTATTTAAGTTAAACTAAATAAATAATTCTCGAGACATGCCGCACTTAACGATATCATACGTCGGTCCCTTGCCACCGTCAACGTGCCAAGTCTACTTGAGCTGACTGGTATTGCAAGTCACGATGGCAAGAGACCGGACGGTATGAGTTTGATTCCATGGAAGATAGGCCAGGTGCTAGTATGTTCAGACACGCTGGCCCCTTCCCATCTACATGGAACCAACAACAGAGCTGGTGCGGCTTGCGAAGCGGCTGAAAAAGCTAAGGCATGCAAATACAGGGGTCTAGGCTCCGAATATGATTTTGTCCCATTCGGTGTCGAGGCCCTTGGTCCGTGGGGTCCTAGCGCTGTAAGGCTTTTTAAGGAAATAGCAAAAAGGTTGGTCGACATCAGAGGAGACCGAAGAGCTGGCTACCTCGGACAAAGAATTAGTCTAGCTATTCAAAGGGGGAACGCTGCCAGTATCTTTGAAACCTTGCCTAAAGGGACTCCTTTTAATAATGTATTTTAGTTATTATATATTTTAGGGTTTTTAGTTATAAATATCTTACTATTTGTTCTTTAGTTAAATTAATAAATAAGTAATAAGCTTAGACTACTTAATTATGCCGTGTTTTGTTCATATCACTCAAGTGCCATTCGTCATTTCTTAACTAGTAAAAAAATTCTTATATCCAAGTATTTTATACGTTTTACAGATGTTTCAACATCTATGATATTTAATTCTGTGAACAATTAAGTGTTACCTACTTTTTTATGCATACGCACCGAGACAGAAATAATGACATTTCGCGAGTATAAGATACAAGATTCGCGTGATTTGTTTTGCGTGTCACGCACACAAGAATATAAAACCTGGTCAGTTTTTATCGCAGTGTTTACAAGGCGACGCTCTATCTAGAGAGTAAATAATCAAACATTCAACATTATCTAGGTAACTGGAGGTAACGCGGTCGTCTCCTTCTGTGAGGAAGTCATCCTACAGAAGGAGTCAGCTGAGAGGGCCCGCGAGGGGGACGCTCGGGCCGGCCCTCTCCGTCGCCGACGACCGGGGGGAAGGCGGCGGCAGTACGACCGCCTCTTTCCACCCTAGTGGGACTGCGGGCGGCGGACAGGGTAGTCCGTCGCTCGCATTGCAGTCTCACCCGTCGAGGGGGGATGCCTAGGTGCTCCCAGGCATCCCCCTGACCATCAGGAGGAGGAGGAATCCCTGCCGGGGTAACGTGGAGCGTCACCCGGATCCCACGAAACCCGTTTCGGCAGACGAGGGAGCACTGTTGGGTTTTTAGTGGGTAGGGCCCCCCCTCATCCCGAGCAGCCGCCGAGCCAGGCAGTCTGGCTTTATTTGGGGTAGGAGGAGTCCCACATAACCCCGCCACTCACCCAGGGCGGGGTATGCGTAACGCATTTTCCCAACATTAAAAAAAAAAGGTAACTGGAGGTAAATTCATCGCATCCCTTTATTCCCACAGTTCCATGTAGCTTGTTCCACATGGAACTATCGTAACTCAATAGTTCCATGTAAGGAATTAATGGAAGTATTACCAAACCTTTAGTATGTATTCCCAGCAGTTATATAAAGGAAACATATTATACTTTTACACACTTTTCATAGAAGTTTCCATTTTAGTTTACCATATTTAGAAAAAATATCCCGGAAAAAGTACAGGATACATAATTACATAAAACTAAATATTTGCATTAGTTCCTTATGAAAGAAAAATCAAGCTATAGAACCAGTTTGCAATTCACGGAACAAATGGTACCAAATACAATATTTTAAGGTTACAGTAGTTCCATGTGGAACTAGAACATGTAACTGTTGGGAATAAGGGGGCGTCCATAAATTGCGTGAGGTGTTTTTTTGAATTTTCTATTCCTCCCTCCCCCCCTGGTGAGATGTCGTGAGATTTTATACAACCCCCTACCCCATCCCCCAATCTCACGTGAGATTTTTCATAATGTGGGTTTCTTAGGTAAACGCGTTGGATTGTTATTGTAAAAAGAAAAAACATTGCTTCGTACTTTTATTTACGACTACCTATTTAAGACTAGTAATCAATATTGCTGAGAGTTTAAATCTTAAGCATGTACAATCTGGACTAAATTGAGCAAAATAGTATATTTTTTTTGTTTCAATCAGAAAAATATATTGCGTGATATTTGCCGAGACCCCCCCTCTCTCCAACGTAAGATTAGATGAGATTTGAATTGACCCCCTCCCCCCTTAAACATCTCACGTAATTTATGGACGCCCCCTAAAGGAATTTATCTGCTGATGACACTTTCAAGCTCCCTCTAATGTACTACTGATTTTATCCATTCTCATCATCCCAAACATCTATCTTAGCAGACGCAACTCAGCCACGTGTATTCGACTTACATCCGTTCATCGTTAAGATAAAAAATCGTACTTTGCCCTGCCGAAGAATATTGAGCTTGTGAATACATTTCGTTTCAAGAAGGCATGATAACAGTAAAAGAAAATATTTAACCACACGCTGAAAGCCACAAGCGCCAAAAGTATTAGTAGTTATTAAAGTACGTTTTTTTATAATATGGATGACAAGTTGTCCGATGTGTCCATTGGCAGTCCCAGTGCGATTAAAACAAATAAAAGACGAGGATAATTATAAAATCTGTGTAACAAAACTGGTTTCGACGCTACTAAAATGTGAGCTTATACAAATTATGTTCCCGTAAAGAATTTTCCAGTACTTATAATAGAAAAATATAGAGAACAA